TCGCGGGGGCCCAGTGCTCTGTGTGTACGCAGGAGGCGGATCTCCGTGGGTGCTTCGGCTCCAAGTATCTGCCGGAACAGCGCTTCCAGTATGGCGTGCTACAGGGGCGCATCCGCCTCAGGTGAGCCACGTACGCGTATATTATTACGCCTGCTGCGGTTTTCTAAATCTTCTACCTGTCATCTAAGAGTCATCAGCAGGGTGCCTTGGCGGCTAACCGCTACCTCCGTGGCATGATGTTGTTGTGAGCTCTCCTGTGCTGCTGTCTCCACTTCATCCATTCTTCCTTCGAGTGCAGTTAGATCTGTGCGCAGGCCCACCAGTTCCTCACGGAGGGTCGCGCATAATTCTTGTGCTAGCCTGCCGGTATCCAGTTTTGTCACCATGCTGTTTGAGATCCTGGCTAGCTCAGTCCGGACCAGTGCAAGCTCGTTAGGGTGGTCTCCCTCTATGTGGGATGTTCCCGGGTTCCCGCGATAAGGAGAGGTGGGCGCCATCTTTTCTGTAAGCTGCGCGTCTCTCACCTCGGGTTGCGATGCAACATATGCGTCCATCGGGCCCGTATGCCGAGGTGGGGAGTCTATCGCCAGGGTCCCGGGCATCGATAGCTTTTTATTGCGGACCATCTGAGTGCTGTAGTGCGCTATAGAGCTGCTTTATTTCAGCCAGGGATGCGGAGCTTGGAGTTTAGGCGTCTTGCTCCATGCTCGTCCAGGCCATGCCCCAATATAATTTAAAAAAAAAACTATATTTTGTGCATAATCTATAAATATTTATATTTTGAAGCAGGCAAACAGCACATACCTTTTAAACTTTTATACATTTTTATCCAAAGCTGATGATTTGTAGCTCAACTTAAGTCAAGTATTTTTACATGTGTTTGCTGTTATTAAATAGCTCAAGTTTGGCTACGTTCTTAGTCCTAAGAAACCTGAATGGTATCTTAATATTTTAAGACTCCTTTTGTTGTAAATCCATTTTACTTGAGTGTGTCTCTGGTTAACAAGACAATTTCCAGCATGTTGCAATGTACACTTGTTTTTCATATCTTCTAATAGATAGCTAATTTTGTGTAGCAGGGGTGGGCAACCTTTGGCACCCCAGATGTTATGGACTACGTCTCCCATGCTGCTTTGCATCTGCTATGCCGAAGGTTGCCGTCCCCCTGAGTCATAGAGAGAAGTTCAAAATGTAGTCATAACAGATCAGCACTTGTCAACAAGTTTACCCCATATAGTGTAGCTTTCTTGAATTAACTCTATCTGTCAGTATGGTAATCATGATATGAAATAGATCAAAAAGATGGGTGCAAAGAGTATACAGTATATCATTCAAATGTCTACAAATAGGTATTGTAGAAAAAGGGTTAAGGGTTCAGTTTGCATACCTCCCAACATTTCTAATGGAGAAAGAAAAACAATTTAAGTTTAGGGATGTGAGCGGGGGTGTGGCCAGGGGCGGGCTGTTCTGAAAAATGGGTGACTTACTAATAGCTATTTATGAAATTAAAATGTAATTTAGAGCAGTGTATCTTATTACACAGACTGATTTCTAAACACATTTATTGTAGGTTAAAGTCACATTTCTGTGAGTATTATGGCTGTAGAGCTTAGTTATACACCAACAATTTGGAGCTCCTAGAATAGAGGGACATTAGGATAGAAAAGAGGGACAGAGGGATTTAGGCCCCAAATAAGGACCTTTTCTTCTAAATAGGTTCATTTGGGAGGTATGAGTTTGATTTTTTTTTATTTTTTTTATTTAAGTCTGTGGTATTCTTAGAAATAGCAGAGAAATTTGCACTGTCGTGGAAAAACCTAAAACAGGGAATTGAGTCTTGAACTTCCTACTAAATTAAGAAAAAATATGTGAAGTGCAGAAATGCAGAAATGCTGAGTGAAAACGCAGATTACTTCAAAATGGAGCTCCCACGCTGTGTCAGATACACATGCTCTTGATTGGCTTGTTTGGGGGAATATTTGATTTATATTTTTTTCATATTACTTTCATTTTTACTAAAAGTGTGAACCTAAATATACAATTTACTTTTACTGAAAGTGAAATGGTAAATGAAGTCATTAGTTTTCACTCTTACAATAAATGTACATTGAATAGCAGACTTAAAGTAATAACTTAAATAAAAAGTTAAATTAAAAAAAAAAACATTTATAATTGGAAACCACTTACTAATATCTTTAAATAGAAATAACAATTAGCATTTATTTAGCATAATTTACAGAAATGCTACTTTTGCATAATGTTAAAAACACTATGTTCATGTGTGTTGGATACTTGTTTATTTGTAAGAAATTGCCAAATTATTTGTATTTATTCACTAATTCTGTTATTTTACAATTTACTGGCATTGTACTAACCTTATATTTCTTAATGTTCTTAATTTTCATAATTTAGAATTTCTACCCCTCTTGTTTCAGAGACTGTTAAAATAAAAAAAAATGGTGTTTATTGCATTTATGGTTAAACATTTTATTGTAATTTACTGTGTTATGTTCTGTCGAGCAAAACTATCAACTGTACTTACAATTAAAGAGATGCAACAGATATTTACATTTAAGATAGCAGCTTGTAAAAGATATGTACAGGTGATTAAACTACAAGTCTCAAGATCCTCTCAATACTTAGCTAGCGTGTCGTTAGATGTCCTTTTGTCCTTCTTATGATTCCTCACACTTCAATAATTCTGACAAACCTCTTTATGTCTTACTTATTTGCTGTACAGTTATATAATGCTCCACTGTCTGATGGTTGCTTAGCAATGTTAGAAGAAAATCGTGTTACCTGTCTAAGAAGGGAACTGATGTTTAGAGTAAAAAAGTATTACCTGTTGCTTATGTGGGAGGGGAAGGATTTTCAAACCAGGACAAGAAATCATATGCCCAACGTGATTTAAAATACTCACTACACCGAACTGAAATAAGCAGCTTCGTATTGTGTATTGTATGTGTGCAATCATTTAAAATAAACCTTTTTTGTATGCGAAAATGTTCCCTTTAACTACTATTTTTACATGTCAAATAGAGATTCCATAATTGTTAACACTTGCAGTTCTACATGGCACTTCCTTTATCCGAGTGTCACCAGATCTTAATACACTTTTCAGGGAAGATTATAGGCTGAGACTTGAATGTGTTCCCAAACATGAGAATTAGTTGAGCAGAAATAACTAAGTAAAAAACAGAGCAATCATTCACACAAAGCCAGACGCCAGACAGAATAATACACGTAAAGATGCACAGCATTCCATGACCACAGGAGGGAAGCCATTAACTATCAAACAGCTGACGTTCTTCTAGAGGCAGGTGGAAGAAACCCGTGAAGCAGATTGGAAAGTGTGGACACAGCAGAACATGACCTGGCCACACTTTATGGTAAGACAAGATGTTTATCATTTATGCTTCACCATTCATGAGTCCCTCACTGTGACATTCCAAACACCGCACATTGTATCATCTCCAGTCACACGTCATAATAGAACACTGTGATTGGTGCATTTGTACTTATCTTACAAGTAATATGTAAATACACCAGGAAAGAACCTTCATATCAGTGGGTGTTGTTTTACATGGAATCCCTACAGTTTTGCACTTTTTTTTATTTGAATTCATCATGTATTGGTTCATTCCTACTAGTCTAAGATTAGAATGTGTATTGCCACAAGGGAATAATACATAGCCGTTTGTTTTTTTTATGTTTACAGAAAAGATAAAAGACACTGTGGAACATCACGAGAATCAAGATGAAGCTAGCTCAACTGCTTCTAGCACTGTCAAAGTCTCCCCATCTTTGGCAGAGCGAGATGATCGGTCAATGCGTCAACAAGATGAATCGGTTTTTCAAAGTAAAATTGCCCGGCAAAAACCCATTCAGAAAGCACAGGAGTTGATTCGTGATCACGAGAGAGAAGTCATGGATGATAAAAAACATCAGTGTCATGCTTTAAGACATGGATTTCAGAGAATAGAAAAAAAGATGGATACTGTTGCAGGTGCTTTGAATAAGGTCCACAAAAGCATTCTCACCCTTTCTCAAGGCATGCTTACGTTAGCACGTCAGACAGCAGCCATGAACGCTGAGCTTGTGAAAGCAAATAATCAGATTGCTTCAACTTTCCATCGCCTTATCCAACTCAAAGAACTTGAACTGTCTAAGAAGGCAGCATCAATATTCTCCTCCCCAACACAACCCAGCTTGTCCAACAGTTCTGCCATGCAAAGAAGACCACGCACAAGAGGTGGCCGAAGGCTTTTTATCTAGAATTGTTGGGATGTCTTTAGAACTTAATTGGGGATATCCACTATTATAATATTTTAAGTTTGCATTTTATTTTTGAGTTGAGAGAAAAAAAAATATTATCTGCTTATCAATAACTTATTATTTTACTTCACACTATTAAAACTGTCCTATATTTAGGAAATGTGCGTGTTGGTTTCTTTGCTGATCATATAGGGTTCTTCTGATGCCAGTCATGTCATCACTAAACACAACTAGTGTCGAGAGATTCAGGATGAATAGGTTTAACATCAAGGTTTCTCATTTTGGATAAAGTGTCTCGTACTTTGAAATGGCAAATTAATATTGGCTGCAAACTTGTAAAGCAATTATAATTAATTCCATAGTCTGACAAGTGAGCAAGGGTTACAAGATAGTATGTTATTTCTCACATATAAAGTTTTCTAAAGTTTTTTTTTTCTTAGTTCCTACTTCTTTTGCAACTTCCCATATGATGCACCATAATATATGTTCTTTTTCCCAGAACATCTACATTTGGGAGAGAGTACCTGCAAACGTTGTGATTTTATACTTAGAGCCTCAAACCAAAAATTCACTAGCCCTTATTATTTTCAATGAAAAAGAACATAGTTTTACATGAAAAATATTTTGAGTAGAGATGTCGCGAACTGTCCGCCGAACTGTTCGCGAACTGTCCGCCGGCGAACAATAGCGTGTTCGCGTTGGGCGAACATATCCGATTTCCGGTCCGCCCCCTATAAGTCATCATTGAGTAAACTTTGACCCGGAACCTCACAGCCAGCAGTCACATTCCACCCAATCAGCAGCAGACACTCCCTCCCAGGAAGTTTCTGCTGACTGTGAGGTTCCGGGTCAAAGTTTACTCAATGATGACGTATAGGGGGCGGACCGGAAATCGGATATGTTCGCCCAACGCGAACACGCTATTGTTCGCCGGCGGACAGTTCGCGAACAGTTCGGCGGACAGTTAGCGACATCTCTAATTTTGAGTCAATAGCATAAACATATCTGAAAGCATACCTAACCTTCTATAATACACGTAAATAATGTTGATATGTCTTTACTGATTAATCATTTAAAACACAATTTCTTTCCATAAAGACATGTTCATTTAGGAAAACTAAATGTCAACTGCCATCAGTTTTTCACTTCTTGTTTTTTAAAAGTTTATTTTATTGAATCAAATGTAATGATATTTTTAAAATGATGATAGAGTTTTGGAGAAAATATTGCTTTTTTATCTTGCCGAGCAGCCATATTGGGTCAGATGCTATAGTTTTCTGGCCAACTGCTGCCCAACTTAACTTGCCTGCTGTTGTGATTGCTCTGTGAAACTGCAGCAGCAGGCCATTTAAAATAGATATACATCATTTAACAAATATCATTAAGTTACATTAACTAAAGTAATAAACTTTTAACTCAGCCAGATACAAAGAAATGTAATCATTTAAATACACATAACTAAAAAAAAAAATCATAATGTAATAAACTTTAAAAAAAAAATATTTCACCTACAAATGTAATTAAAATGCTACCTCTCCAATGTAGGATCATTTTAACTGGTTTTTCTTTAAAAAAAAAAAAAAAAAAAAACATGTTAAATTCTATGCTTGTCTTTAAATTTTGTTAAAAATGAAATCATAAAATCATCTCAAAAAACACCCTCTGATTTTTACATCATCATTCTTTTTTGCCAGTTTCAGGTCCACTTTATCTCTGTGTATCCCAGACTAGTAAGCGAAAAATGACACAGATTTTAGATAACATTACTTGTATCCTGTACAGATACTTCATTCATAGCAGGCTGTCGGCGTTCGCATGAGATTTCCCCATAGGAAAGCATTGTTCAATTACCTGCTCAGGGTTAAGGGACCTGAGACACTGCACTCAGACCACTTCAATGAGCTGAAGTGGTCCGGGTGCCTTTAATTAGGCCAAATTTCAAAGTTCATTTTGTTATAGACTGAACTGCACATGTAATTCCATCCCCCCATGGTGTCCATCTTGGAAGTTACTGAAGTGTTTATGTATGCCCATTGTTCTACTTTTCTTCAGACCTGTTCTAAAGACTTACCAGCATGCCAAAGTATTGGGAGACCCATGTCAATTCACAGACATCTCAATGAAAATGTCTGGGCTACTGATTAACATACCTGAACCAAAACACTGCTTGCAAGAAATCTCTGTCCTGATGATAGGTTTTTAGAAAAAGTTTGGAAAATACCTTTTTACCTTTTAAACACAAATGCCAAATCAAAGTAACACAAATATAGGTCCCTAAAGACTGAAAAAGTGACTTTAAATAGTATTTCCCATCCTGCAACTGTTCTAAGAGCTAATTGCGAAGGTTGTATCCATGCAAAGCTCCCCTCTCACTTGCTGCTCACTATTGTGAACGACAGTGTGTCTGGGAAGTCAGGACTTAGCATCTCCCTCCATTTATTCCATACCCCTAAATCAGTTTAGAATGTACATTTATCAATGGTTGTCACCGTCACTGAAGGCTGCTTTGGAAGAGAGACACATCATTGTCTAGTTCTCAGCTATTTTCACTGTTAGAAAAGAATTGAGTATTAGCCCGACCCATTATCATGTGCCCCAACACCCTCAGTACTCCCAACCTCAATAAAAAAATACCCTGGACACTGCATTATACAGTGTTCAAGAACTTCTTCATGTTTGTCAATAAGAGATTATAAAGGAGAATAAGACTTGGGCAGGGTTGAGCATGCCCTATTCCTGCCATTGACCCTGATGTCCCTTTTCTAAAAAAAACAAAAAACAAAAACCCTAATCCCTAATTATTGTATCATACTTTAAAAGATATTTATTAAAATAGTTTTATTAAGAAAAAGTAAAGCACCAGTTAAAATATTTAAACATAAAATAAATTAAACTCCATGGCATATTCTTAAAATTAGGACTAATACATTGAACTATTTTATTGTATTTTTCTGTTGATGCCCTAGTTGTGTAAAAATTCATAAGCAAAACTGTGAATAACATTTTTTTTATTTTTACACTTTTTTTTTAAACTACATTTTGAATTATATCCAAACAAAATAATTAATAATATATATATTTTAAAAGGAGTTTAAAATGTTATTCTATATAGATCCTGGAGATTTCACAAGGTATAGGTTACATTTCTATACGTGCTTGCAAGCTGCCTTTGTCAAGTGTATGTTTTGTGGATGATAACCACTCTTTAAAGTTGTCTGGCCATTTGTAAATTTGCGTTCCTATTAACATTAACTGCATAGTTTTGTACAATGAGTGTAAAATGGTTACAATGGTATAAAAGCATATAGTGTGACAGACAAGTATATAACACCATAAAATAGGAGAATGGACTAATCATAACTAAGATTTTCTTTAATTGTATTCAGTACTGCCTTTAATTTTGGAATCTTAGATGGTTATTTGCAACCCTTCTTTAACAAACCTTTTTTCATAAACTTACCCGAAATCCTAAGTGCCTACGTCAGTTGTGGCAGGGGGTGCTACTAGCTCCCAGCACAAAAGTACAGCTTACTCTATATTTGTAGAGTATCAAGCAGAGTCGCTGCTCAGACAGATTCCTACTACCATGACTACTTCAAAAAGCAAAAGTGGTCATGGTGAGTAACCCTGTAATAAGACAATAATATTTGACAGCTTAACTTCTGTAGAATGAACATTTGTTTATGTTTCCACTTTTCTAATTCTAAGTCTTCTTACAGTACAGTGTGACAGGTTGTGTTAGTGATATATTAGTAAATTATAATGTAATAATAGTAGTGAATAATTTGAATTCTAGTTCTCTCTGCAAGTTACTATTGGTAATTTTTAAATGAAATAGTAGCTGATTTTATTTATGATGTATTATATGATTCAAGTTTAAACACCATTCTGTGTAGGACACATTTCACAATGGGTTGAAACAGGAATAAAACCAGCAGATTATGAAGATCATAGAATGTTAGCATCTAGTAGATATCACATGTGAAATTAAAAGAATTTGCACATTTTTTTCTGCACATTTAAAGGGGAACAGTCATTTATCTTGAATTTGTGCTATTCAATAAAACATTGAAAAGCACCTGTAACTTGGGTTGGCCTTTTCCACAGAAATACTTTATTTTCTATTAACTGTATGGATTTATTAAATTCAATCATAAGCCAGTTCAGACTAGGAAAAGAGAGAGCAAACACTGCAAACAAAGATTATAAATAGGAAAATGTCCCCTCTTCTTTTTTGAAAACCAGGTATAAAGAATAAAGCTTAAAACACTGATTGACAGGGAGGTGCTTAATTGCCGGATAAAGACTCTAATTTTATTTTTTCCATTAATATAACATAATTGTTTAACATAAGTTAGTAAACATAATATTAAAAATCCTAGGACGTGACAAGTTCCCTTTAATACTTGTGGACCTTCTGGTATTGACCAATGTTTGGTGCAATAAATATAGTGTCATGGCTTCTCATTGTAGACAAGGCTCTGCCCAATGTCCCTGTACTGCAAATAACGTAGTTATTGTAAAGTTGTATTATACTATGAACAAATGATGTAACCCACACTTTCTGTAAGAGTGTAATCATGGTACATATTTAATAAAATAGGAAAAGTGTCTAGCCACATAATTACTTATTGGGGTGCACTTAGAATTATTTAATATCTGCAAGCAGAATAATTTATCTGTATGTTATATGACACTACAAGCTCACCATAATTCCCTTTTATTTATGTTGAGTAATATGCTATAGACAATAATTTGGCACAAACAATGACATTCTAAATACAATTATATGCGATAAAGAAATATAAACCTATTTTGGAAACCTTACAAAAATCCAAGTTAGATATAAGGCATAAACAAAGCTTGTTACCCTGAGGGAATATGTCCCAGACTAAACAATTTTACCAAAATATCTCTTACTATCCTTATCACTCCAGCTGCTTAGTGTGCTTTAATGGAGAGCTCGGCCGGAATGTTACGCTATGTGAAAGTACTTCCAAATCAGGAGCAACTGGAGATTGCCATGCTCAGTGGGATATGAGACAGCTGTAGAAATGAAATACTGTACTTTGGCATAATATATCTTACCTACAGCCCATGTCATATTGTAATTAGCGAAACCTATGTGTCCAATCCATAGTTAGCAAAACAAGAATGCCAAAATAATGGGGTCTGCCTCATATGTCAATATACCCAATGGAACTCATTAGCAAATGTTTTGTTTTACACATGGGATACATAAACAATTAGCATCACCCATTTAATCTCATTCAGTGGGCATCATGATTTAATTTGGAGTGATAAATACCAATCAAAAGGTATATATATACAAATACCCCAAATCAGTTGCCATGCAACCAATGAGCTAAGCCTGCAATGTCATAACAGAGGCAGAGAACTTCTATCTTATACTTAAGTGGGGACCATATTTAAAAACTACATGCATTGGGAGAGTGCCAATGTGCTCCTGTACTCCATCGTGCTGTAGTTGTTATGGTGCATGGAGTGTTTCTTTTACGAAAGCTGTTAGCTGAAGTATAACTTATAGAATCTTTTGCTGAATATTGTAGTTTAGGAGACAGGGACAAAAGGGGTCAATAATATCACATACTCGAGTGCAGTAATCAGTGCCATTCATATGGCAAAGGTGAGAAATAAGGCACAATTAAAATATAGCATGTGGCAAAGCATGTATTTCTTTTTGCATAAACTAAATGAAATTAAACAAACAATGCTAATGATAAAATGCATAAATAATGTGTTGGTTCCTGGAGCATCCCTTGGAAGGTTAGTGCGCTTATAAGAGTACTAGTATAGTGACAGATGTCTACGGTCATGAAAGTGACACAAGTGTTCTTGTTTTATGATGAAAGATATAACTTA